ACATATCTAGTTGTAAGGGAGTTTGAGGAATGAGTCCCTTAGCTAGGTGCATTGGCATTTATGATAAAATGGGAGTTCTGCTACTAAAAAAGGAGGGGAGAATGGACACTGGGCAGGCAACTAGTGGTCTCTGCTAGAAGGGAGACTTCTTTTTTGGGCAGTGTGGAGACTAAAGCAACTCCATCTTAGATTTGAATCCACCATTTTGGCTTCTGATTAACTCCAGTTCCAGAAAGACCTCTAAGATTTCCCATTTATCTATTCTTCTTTGTTGAGGAACTAGTACTTACAGTAAATCCTGCCCTTAGGTCAAACAACCTTGATGTTATTGTATTTACCTTTTCCTACTCATCCCTTCCGAATCACCCTTTTACTATGGAATATAAACCCTGGCGGTGGGAAGATGGGAGTGGTAATAGCACTGAGATCCACTATCTTGTCTTGAGGCACAGACATGGCTTCTGTTTGAAGACCCTAGTAAATGTTTTTTTCTAAGGAACTGGATATGTCAGCCTCTTTCTTTGGCCTCTCAGCTTTCTCAGACTTTGGGAGTAGCTTTGCATAGACCTGCCCACTTCAAAACAGTCAGGTTGAGTTGGAGATGTTTTGGGAATAGGCAGGAGAAAGAAGTGGCTGGAGAAGTGTGAGTTGAAGCCTTTGGAGAAGATGTCATCATCCAGGTAAAGGATGTAGAGTAAAAAAAGAAGACGGCTGGCCAGGTGCCGTGGCTCACTCCTGTAATCCTAGCACTTTGGAGGCCGAGGTGGGAGGATTACTTGGGATCAGGAGTTTGAGACCAGGCTGGCCAACATGGTGAAAACCCATCTCTACCAAAAATACAAAAATTAGCTGGGCATGGTGGCATGTGCCTGTAATCCCAGCTACTTGGGAGGCTGAGGCAGGAGAACTGCTTGAACCCAGGAGGTGGAGGATGCAGTGAACCAAGACTGCATCACAGCACTCCAGCCTGGGGGACAGAACAAGACTGTGTCTCAAAAAAAAAAAAAAAAAAAAAAAAAATTAGCTGGGCTTGGTGGCATGTGCCTGTAATCCCAGCTACTTGGGAGGGTGAGGCAGGAGAATTGCTTGAACCCGGGAGGTGGAGGTTCCAGTGAGCCACGATTGTGCCACTGCACATCAGCCTAGGCGACACAGCAAGACTGCGTCTCAAAAAAATAAAAAAAAAAGACGATGGCTTAGTTGAGGATCATAGAATCACTTAATGCTTTATGGGCTAGTAGAGGAATAGAAGCCATGAAACCAAATCAAAACAGACAGGAGTTTTAGTAATGTTTAATCACTTAAGGGTATAAAATAATGTAAATAGTTTTAGTGATCAATCGATGAGTAGCATTCCTCTTCCTGAGCTGAGTTCTGAACCGATTAAGAGTGAGCATGGGCATCAAGTAGAGGGAGCTCAAAATGTTAGCTTTATTACTAGTTTAAGGCTGACTGGCAGAGGTAGCTTAAAAATGCACATTGGAATTAAATTCACAGGCACAGGCACAGGCCCAACTAAACAACCACAGGCACAGCCACCCTTTTCACATGGCACCGCTGAGTAGAACACATGCCTGCTGCAGACAGAGTGTCTCAAGGAGAACTCAGAAGGGGTGGAGACACTTATGCCCGGATTTTCTCCTAAACCCACCAATCAGATAAGTCAGATCAACGCAGTGGAGAAACGATAGAAGTGTTATTGTCGATTGAGGTCCTTTCACTTAGAAACATGAAAAGTAGGAAATAATGGTGCCCCCACCACCCCATACAAATATGGTACATAACCTTTAATATTATAATTCTTATCATTCTGAGCACCCATCCTGTTATTCCAGGATGAATTTCAGGAGCTAACTGAATTTAGTCATTGGGTCCTGTTTGCTCTCCTTTTATCACAGAAGCCAAGACTCTTCTAAGATCCCTTGAGGTTGGAGGGCTACACAGTTTGCTACCAGATGCTTGGAGCTCATCATTGCTGTTATGCTTTTATTGCTACCAACAAAGTCAGACATCTCATGCAGGCGTCCATTCTCTGCTGCTAGTGCTGTAGGGTGTTGTATTATCTGACCTTTCCCAAGAGCCAGTTCTTGTTCAGGATTTGCCAGTGAAGTTTGAACTGATTGTTCTTCCTTAAGGCTGTAGGATTTCATAATGTTCCCCTAACCTCATGGCATGTCTCATGTTTTCTTTACTGTACCCTAGAACTGGCTGGGCTTTCTCATACTATACACACCTATACACACATACAAACACACATGTACACACACGGAGAGTGTCAGGATGACTAGGCCAGAAGGAGGGCCCAGTGTTAGCCATACCCAGTACCCTGAACCAGCCTCCCTACAAAGCAATCAAGGCACAGCATTGAACCCGGATCCCCAGGTCGGAGTCTTTCTTCAGACATTAAGCAAATATTTATTGAGTCTTTCATTGGCCCTTAGTGACCACTTCCACTCATAAGTGACGTGTCAATAATGTTGAGCCTCAAAAGGGAGGAGTCAGAAGAGCCAAAAACAATTTTGGAAAAGAAGAACAAAGTTGGAGGGCTCACGCTTCCTGATCTCAAAACACACTAAAAAGCTATAGTGCAATTAAGACTGTGATACTGGCAGAAGGCTGGACACATAAGTCAGTGGAATAGAGTTTCGAGTCCAGGAAAAAACCCTCACACTTACAGTCCATTGATTTTTAGACAAAAGTGCCAAGACATTTAAATGGGGGAAAGAATAGTCTTCAACAAGTGTGCAAGACAACTTGACAGCCACATGCAAAAGGTAGAGTTGGACCCCACCGCATACCAGACACCAAAATTAACTGAAAATAGGTCAAAGATCACAATATAAGGACTAAAATGATAAAGTTATTAGAAGAAAACATAGGCATAAATCCTCATGACCTTAAGTTAGACAATGGTTTGTTAGATACAACACCAAAAGTGCAGCAAAAAAATAATAATAATAATGAATTGGTCATCATAATTAAACATCTTTCTGCTTTATTGGTCATCACAATTAAAAACCTTTTTGCTTCAAAGGACATCATCAAGAAAGTGAAAACCCATAGAACGGAAAAAAAATTTGCAAATCATATATCTGATAAGGGATTTGTATTTAAAACATATAAAGAATGTTTACAATTCAATAATGAAGAAGAAAAATAACTCAATTAAAAAACAGGCCAAGTGGGCCACAGTGGTATGCACCTGTAGTCCCAGCTACTCAGGCAACTGAGGTGGGAGAATTGCTTGAGCCCAGGAGGTAGAGGCTGCAGTAAGTCAAGATCATGCCACTGCACTCCAGCCTGGGCAACAGAGCAAGACCCTGCCTCAAAAAAAAAAAAAAAAAAAAAATATATATATATATATAGGCAAAGGACTTAAATGAACATTTCTCCAAAGAAATACAAACAGCTAATAAACCCATGAAAAGATGCTCAACATCATTAGCCATCAGGGAAATGCAAATATTAATCATAATGGGATACCACTTTATGCTTACTAGGCTGACTATTATAAAAAAGACAGATGCCAGCAAGTGTTGGTGAGGATGTGGAAAAACCAAAAGCCACATAAACTACAAAACTACAAAACTCACATAAACTACAAAACCCACATAAACTCACATAAACCCACAAAACCCACACAAACTATTGGAAAATAATTTAACAGTTCCTCAAAACCTAAGAACTACTGTTACCATAGAACCCAGCATTTAATCCCTAGGTATATACCCAAGAGAAATGAAAACATATGTCCACACAAAAACTTGTAAGCAAATGTTCATAGCAACATTATCCATAATAGCCAAAAAGTGAGAACCCATATGTCCACCAATTAATGAATAAACAAATTGTGTTATATTCATATAATTTAATATTATTCAGTTATAAAAAGCAATGAAATACTAATACATGTTACAACATAGATGAATCTTGAAAACATTACGTTAAGTGAAAGAACAGTCACAGAATACCATATATTGTATGATTCCCTTTATGTGGAATGTCAGAATAGGCAAATCCATGGAGATGGAATGTAAATTCAGCTGCTTAGGGCTGAGGGGTTTTGGAGGGAGGAAAAGGGCATGACTCTAATGAACATAAGGTTTCTTTTTGAGGTGGGGAACATGTTCTAAAACTGATTGTAGCAATGGGTGCAGAACTCTGTAAACGTACTAAAAACCACTGAACTGTACACTTTAAATGGGTATATATATATATGAATTATATATCAATAAAGCTGTTATTTTAAAAAGCAAAAAAGCAAAAAGATAGGAGTCAGGGTCTTGATCTCCTTAATTCCAGGAGGTCCCTTGGCTCTTACGCATATGAGGGTATGTGCCAGCATGGCCTACTTTCTTTCCCCAGAAGGGTAAGAAGCAACTCGCCTATTATTTTCATTCCTAAAGATACCATCCATGTAGGGGGGCCAACTTGTCCTAGTTTTCCTAGGACTTCTAATTTTAGCATTGAAAGTCTTGCTCCCAGAAACCCTCTTCATGCAAACTGGAACAGTTGGTCACCCTATACCCAGAGGTTTCTTCACAGATTTTCTCCAAGGCAACTTCACATCACTAGCTCTAGACACAGAAGTGGCAGGCAACTTCAGAGTGGTAATTTCTCTTGCTAACAACGAAAAAGGAAGAATGTGTTTAAAGTTTGACCTGATTGGATACTCTTCAGTGTGAATGGGTAGGAGTTCAAAAAGGAAGGAACGGCTCATATTGTCAGATGTTCCTCAGAACTCTGATAAGAACCAAAAAACTCTATTGGTTGTGGCCATACAGTACTTGCTGGCCTTTGGCAAGATGTGGAGGTGTTCAGGCAGAAGTCAACTTACGGAGTGTTAAGGAGTAAATGGAAGTAAGCAATCAGACAGAATTGTCTACTTTTTTTAAACAGCTTGACTCTGTGGGCAAGAAAGAGAAAAGGTGGAAGTTGGAAGGCTTAAGGGAAGATGGTCTTTGGATTTGTTCTGTTTTCATTTTTTAAGATGGGGAGAGTGAATCTGGTTTATGTGTTGAGGGAGAGGAGATTGACCCTGGAGAGGAATGGAATCCACAGCACAAGTAGGGGGATTACCAGGATTACCCTTGGACAAAAAAGTTTTTGCTTTGTTTTTTGGTTGCTTTTTGCCACAGAAGAGAAGCATGAAAACATGGGAGTGTCATGCAGGTGAGCTTGGACCAGGGAAGCAAGCAGCGGAGGAAAGGCCAGCCTAAGGGCCTGTTTTTTCTCCCTGAAGTGGGAGGAGGGTCTTCCCCTGAGCATGATCAAAGAGCTGAGCCTGGTTGAGGTTTAATAGCATTGTTATGGGAAATGGAAGAAGATGCTGGTAATGGAGAGAAAATGGATAAAGGTGGTAGTGGAGAAAAATGTCTGGGTTGCCTTGAGGGCCTTAGTAAGAATGAAGACCATTATAGATGTAGAGGGGAGGAGGTAGATAGTTGGATTCATTTGGGGTTGAGGTTTTGCAGGTGTAGATGGAAGGAAAAGTGTTAATGCCATTCTCTAGCTCAAAGACCTTTGAAGACTTCACAAAAAGTGCAAAATAGAATAAAAACTTGCCCTGACATTTAATCCCTCCATAATTTGGTTTGTGTCTACTTTATTATGCTACCTCCATCTCCCTTCTCTCCTTGATGCACCAACCTATTCATACCACCTTTTTCCAATCATCCTGGTCTCAATTTCTCCAACTGTTGGATTTCCAACTTGTGAGTTTTTATCTCCTTCTGATTAGAATACCCTTCTAACCATTAAATGCCAATGCAAATTCCATTTGCCCCAAAAGCCTCCCACCTTCCCAAGCAAGAATCTCTCATCACGTACTGAGCTAGCATTGCCCATCATGTCTTCTCAATCCTCTCCCACTCCTTGAAGAAGTTGCCCCACCCACCAGCAGCCCAGAAGAGGCAAGCTCCTTGGTCATAAATTATTGGAGTAGCAGAGCCAATTGGAGATTTCTCTGCCAGGATTTGAGATTGAGCTCACAGGCTACATTAGCCATCAGAGACATAGGACCCTCTAGATCTGGATAGAGAGCTGGTGCCTTCCAAAGCACCTGTGTGCTGAGGGCAATGGGGGAGTAGAAACCAAGAGCCTTCTAGAGTAAAATGGCACAGACCTGCAGGGAGATGCAGAAATAAGGTACTGGGTGGGGGTGGGGCAGAGGAAATAAGAGTGAGAGACAGTTTTCTCACTCTGGGGTTTCTATGAACATCTTGCAGCTGAGTTCCTGGAGATATTCCAGCATCCTTAACATGAACCCAGTTTTAGTTATAAGTTAGCCCGAGGTAGCTGCTATTCCTTGCAATCAATTGTCACTGCCCCTAAACCAGAAGGCTCTGTTCCCATAGTATCTTCCATGTGCCTCTACTAGAGCATTATCTCCTCTCATCAGAGTTATGCAGATGTGTGTCTGCTTCCACCTGGGGAACAGCGCCCCTGTTCATTCAGTATCTCTGGAGCCTAGTACTTGTTGGACGCTCAAAAAATAGTTGTTGAATTTGAATTCTCCAAGTTCACAAAAAGGTTTGATGATGTATCATTTGTTAGGCAAACCTTATAAACTCTATGTTTCCCTCCATATTTTACTATATTTGCATTATTTTACATCTTTCAAAAAATCAAATTTGCTTTCATGCTACTCACAAACTTTGTACATTTACATGGTTTGGCTTTCTCATTATTTTTGGCGGTCACCAGGAATAATTCATAGTTAACCAGTGGTCCATGCATCCCTCTAGTTGGTGAGAATGTCTTATATGCAACTCATCTTCCAGTATTCAACTGACTTTAACCTTGAAATAGATACTTCCATGAAGGCTGTTGGGGCAGCTTAATTTCAAAGATGTCATTTAAAACACATTACAAAGTCAGCAGGCAGGCTAAGCACAACTGCTTCCTTTAAAAACCTATTCAGAATCATCGATCTTCAGAGCTGGGGCCAGTGGTTCTCAGGCTTTTGAGTTTCTATGAACCAGCATTAATATAAGAAAAAAAGGGAAGGGTTGCTGAATTTATCCTCTTCCAGAAAACAGCATTAAAACAAATATGTTTCTATTAACATAGTATAATTTCATAAAATAAAGGGCATGTTAACACCAATATTATCAAGAGCATTATCCCCTAATTTAAGCATCAAATGCAGTCAAGTGTGGCTTAACAACAGACATAAGTTGTGAATCTTCAGGCAGTTTCATCATTGTGCGAATATCGCAGAGTGTCCTTACACAAACCTAGATGGGAAACCCTACTACATATCTAGGCCATATGGTATAATAGCCTATTGTCCCTAGGCTACAAATCTGTACAGCATGTTACTGTACTGAATACTGCAGGCAACCATTACACAATGGTATCTGTGTATCAAAACATCTCTAAATATAGAAATGGCATGGTAAAAATATGGTATTATAATCCTATGGGGCCACCACCCTATAGGCAGTCTGTCATTAACAAAAACATCCATAGGTGGTACACGACTGCACATTAGATTTTTTAAAAAACTCATGACATTTTGATTTCTAAATAATGTTTAAAATATTTAAACATTTCTAAATAACATGCTTAACATGGTGCTTGGCACATGGTCAATTCTCTGTATTACTATTATTAGTGTTTAATCAATGTTAGTCATTTTTCACACAAGGGAGAATATTTTTACCTTCCCAAAAGGTTTGCTGAGCTCCTTCACGGATTTGAAGTGTGTCCCTAAAGGTACAAGTTTTCCTGGGGAATGCAATGACTCTGGCTCTGTAAAACAAACTGAGAAGATTTGAGATTCTCACAGGTATTCTGAGGAGTACAGAAGTGAGAGGAGGAGAGAAAAGAAAGGAGTCTGCAAGATGAAGAAACTGAGGACTCATTCCCATGAAGACCACAAACTTTCCTTGTTGAGGAGCAAGGTGGGTGAAGAATATTTTGCAACTTGGGATGGATCAATATACAGTTTGAAGGTTTTATATCTCAGGAATGTGAGTAACTTCTCTTTCATGCCACCCTACCTCCAGCTTCTGTAACATTTATAATATGAATGGTGCATGAATGTTATGAATCGGTTTATGGTGGATATCATAGAAGGGTCTACATTTCTCATTTGAGTTGAAACAGTGTAGACCCCAGAGGGCCGCCCAGAAGCAGAGGTCAGGAACCAGAGGTGACCAGAGAACAGAAGTTGCCAAGATCTCCGAAAAATCTCAGCCATGGTTTGAGCATGGTTCCTCAGCAGACACCTATCTTATGTCTTCATAGTAATGGAAGCCATTCTGGTTTCATAACTGGGCATGATAGGCCTGGTTCCAAAGTTCTGTACCTACCCCAGCTGGGTCAGGTCTGTTTTTATGGTAGAATCACCTAGAGTAAAGAGAATCCTGGCTTGGAGGTTTCTCTTTCTTTTCTTTTCTTTTTTTTTTTTTTGAGACAGGGTCTTGCTCTGTCGCCCAGGCTGGAGTGCAATGGCATGATCTTGGCTCACTGCAACCCCCGCCTGCCGGGTTCAAGTAATTCTCCAGCCTCAGTCTCCTGAGTAGCTGGGACTACAGGCGCACACCACCACACCCGGTTATTTTTGTATTTTTAGTAGAGGCGGGTTTCACCTTGTTGGCCAGGCTGGTCTCGATCTCTTGACCTCGTGATCCGCCCGCCTCGGCCTCCCAAAGTGTTGGGATTACAGGCTTGAGCCACCACGCCAGGCTGGCTTGAAGGTTTTCCAGGACTAGAGAGGAGCCCTGCTCTGGCTTCTTAGGTACAGCCAGAATCGGCGTTTAACGTACGGATACCTGACTCCCGCAGGACTGGATCTCCACGTGCTTGGAGGGATAAGCATCTATGATGTAACCACTAAGTAGTCAGAGGGCATGAGGAGTAACGCTGTTGCTGGGCAACCTGGCTTAGCTCTGTGGCTTTGGTTAAGGTACTACTCTATGCAAAATTCCTTGATGTCTTCCCTAATCCGCCTCCCCAGTTCTCCCTTCCTGAACACCAGGGAACCCACCGGCCTCCTTATAACTGCAGTTTCTGTGTTACGGTAGCGAGTAGTGACCAAGAGCTTAGGGTTTAGTGTTAGATAAACCAGGGTCCACTCTGCGACCCCACGCAACCTCCCCAGGCTGTCTGCACCAGTGTTGGCATCTGTCAAGTGGGTGGGGGATAACAGTGAATAACTGCCTCATAGACGGACTACCGGTTTAACCAGAGACTGACGGCGAGTCGCATATTAATCTTCCAATCACTTGGCAAACTCGTTTCACTCCGCATCTCTCCTCCCGGCTGTCCTTTCAACTTCCTCCTCCCTGAAATTTCGAAGATCCACCTCGGTGGGAAAGTCATTCCGTGTGGCGCGCCCTTTCCCTGCGTCCCTCCTTCCCAGGGCCCACCCTCCGCGGACGCAGAGCGTCTGCCGGGGGGACGGCCGGTCCGCGATGGCGGCCTCTGAGGTAGTTGGTCCCCTCTCTCCGTGGGCTTGGGAAGGGTCCGAAAGGCCCGCTCAGATCTTCTGCGGCGCTGCTCGGAGGGAAAGCGCCGCCGCCAGCCGAGCTGTCACGGCCGCGAGTGGAAGAAGTACACCGCAGGATGAGCGACGCCGCTGCGGAGGTAACCGCGGGGACTGCGGCCAGGGACGGGGGATGGGTGCAGCAGAGGATAACGGGTTGGCCGGCAACCGGAACGCGTCAGGCCCGCTCCGCTGGACCTCCTTACCAGCCCGCGTCCCCAGCCGTCCTCCCAGATCCCGACCGCAGCTTCAGAAGCGACGGCCACGTGGGTGGCGGCGCGCGCCGCGGGGGCTGGAATGTTGGCGTTGGGGGAGCGAGGCTGGAAGGGCCGCAGAGAGGTGAAGGAGGGTCCGCGTCCGCGCGCCCGGGCGCCGACTGCTGGGCGACGCCGCCGGGAGCGAGCACGCCTCGGACGTCACGCGCCGCTCGTCCAATGAGCGGAGGCCTGAGGGAGGTGCCGGTCCCCGCCCCGCCGCCTCCGCCGCCACACCGGCCCTTCGGGAGCGTCTGAGGAGGCGCGGGCCGCTGCGGGCTCGGGCGCCGCACCGCGCCGGCCCGAGCCTCTGGACGAGGCCCACGGAGCCGCTTGTCCCGACCCAGCCGCCCGATGTCCTCAAGATGGAGGCAGCGGGGGCGGCGGCGTGAAGAAAGCGGCGCTGTGGGCGCGGGAGCAGGGGCCCAGGCGGAGGCGGTGGCGGGATGGGGCTGCTGCTCATGATCCTGGCGTCGGCCGTGCTGGGTTCCTTCCTCACGCTCCTCGCTCAGTTCCTCCTGCTGTACCGCAGGCAGCCCGAGCCGCCGGCGGACGAGGCCGCCCGCGCGGGCGAGGGCTTCCGCTACATCAAGCCAGTGCCGGGCCTGCTCCTGAGGGAGTACCTTTATGGCGGCGGCCGGGATGAGGAGCCCTCCGGAGCCGCCCCTGAGGGCAGCGCGACCCCCACCGCGGCCCCAGAGACCCCCGCCCCGCCGACGCGGGAGACTTGCTACTTTCTCAACGCCACTATCCTATTCCTGTTCCGGGAGTTGCGGGACACCGCGCTGACCCGCCGCTGGGTCACCAAGAAGATCAAGGTGGAGTTCGAGGAGCTGCTGCAGACCAAGACGGCCGGGCGCCTGCTGGAGGGGCTGAGCCTGCGGGACGTGTTCCTGGGCGAGACGGTGCCCTTCATCAAGACCATCCGGCTCATCCGGCCCGTCGTGCCCTCGGCCACCGGGGAGCCCGACGGCCCCGAAGGGGAGGCGCTGCCCGCCGCCTGCCCCGAGGAGCTGGCCTTCGAGGCGGAGGTGGAGTACAACGGGGGCTTCCACCTGGCCATCGACGTGGACCTGGTCTTTGGCAAGTCCGCCTACTTGTTTGTCAAGCTGTCCCGCGTGGTGGGGAGGCTGCGCTTGGTCTTCACGCGCGTGCCCTTCACCCACTGGTTCTTCTCCTTCGTGGAGGACCCGCTGATCGACTTCGAGGTGCGCTCCCAGTTTGAAGGGCGGCCCATGCCCCAGCTCACCTCCATCATCGTCAACCAGCTCAAGAAGATCATCAAGCGCAAGCACACCCTGCCGAGCTACAAGATCAGGTGAGCGCGAGGTCGGGGAGGGGGCCTGGCTGCCGGGAACCCCGGCCTGGGCGGGACGCTGCTGGCTGCGTGGATTGGGAAGGGCAAAGGCTCTCTTCTGTCCTGGCGCCTGCTTCTGGGGTCTTCCCACCCTGGACAGGGCCCCAGATCAAGGCGAGTAGTGAACACTTACTTTGCTTCCGAACGGCACTGATAGGAGGTAGAAACCTTTTCGCGTGTTCGTGGGGACTCAAGGTGCTGTCAACGCGGGCAGAATCGTCTCCTTTTATAAGCAGCATATTGGAAATGGAAGGGAAGCCTGCCCTAATCCCCAGGAGTCGCTTCTGGGACTGTTGAGAAACTCTCCCTCTCTGTGGTTGCTGCATTGAGGGCAGCCGCGTCACTGGCTTTGCAGCATCACCTTGGCCGCGTTGAGAAATTGTTCCTGGACACAGTACACGCGTGAAGGGTGTGCTTATAGCCCAGGTCTGTGCTCATTTGCCATTGCAAGCCACTTTTGCTTTGATGGTTTGACACCTTTCAAGGCAGAGGTGGTAGCTCTTGCAAAGGAATCCTTTTGTGGTTTTTTGTTTGTTTTTGTTTTTGAGACAGTCTCGCGGCAGGCTGGAGTGCAGTGGCGCAATCTCGGCTCACTGCAACCCCTGCCTCCCTGGTTCGAGCGATTCTCCTGCCCCGGCCTCCCAAGTAGCTGGGGTTACAGGCGCATGGCACCACGCCCGGCTGAATTTTGTGTGTGTGTGTGTGTGTGTGTGTGTTTTAGTAGAGAGATGGGGCCAGGCTGGTTTCGAACTCCTGACCTCAAGTAATCCGCCCGCTTCGGCCTCCCAAAGTGTTAGGATTACAGGAGTGAGCCCCCGTGCCCGGCCCAGGAATACTTTCCATAGCAGATGGGAAAGGAGTTGGGAGCCGGTACGTAGTGTACTTTACATTTTGTATTAATGTCATTTGCCCATTTTGGGTAGATTGTAGAACACAGATCCAGACTCGGCCCATCAAGCATTTACTCTCTGTGACTGTAAGTTCCTCTCTCAAAGGACCTGAAATCACTGTGCAAATTGTATTTTAATGCTGGGTAGTGATTTTAATTTTTTTTAAGCCCCCCAGCATCTGATGGCTTGAAGTTTGTAGTATACAGTTTTGAGTAGTATATAAATTTTGTTTTAATATTGTAGGAGTGGAAGGGGAAAGACTTTTTTAGGGCTAGAGGCGGAGTGGAAGGTGCTGTTTCTTTTGTAAAAAGCTGAATTTTTAATTTCTCTTTCTGTCCTCCTTTAATTTTGTATTCACTAAGACATTTGAGCCTTTAAAATTTTGCCCTTTGTTATAAAATTAAATCAGTCTTGTATTTTACTTACCTAATTTTACTTGCCTTTTAGTGGAAGTTGCCTATTTCTGGATCACCAATTTTCTACCAGTGTCAATTTTCAGGAGCAAGATAGTTCAGAAATATTTTGGGTTTGGAATGGATTATTGGCTTGTGTTTGTGGCAGATGTACCTTACCAATTACGTTTTGTTTAGGCTAACAGCACAGAGTGACAGCTTAAAACTTGAGTGGCAGGAGAAATTTACTTTGTAATGGAAATATTTCCATAGATTTATGGAGGGTGGTGTTCTATGAAGTAGAATATACTTTGTGAAACCTACTTTTAACCTTTGGAATATCAGTGACTAAATTATAACTGGGTTCTAGTGTTTAAGCAGTGAGAGATGTTTGTTTATAGCAGTGTGTTACCAAAAAAGTCGTGAGAAAAAGTTGCTAGAGATTTTGGTATTCTATCACAACTTCAATTATGCTGTTTTCTAGTAGCTTTCAGTTAATACAATTTGACTAGATTATTATTTTGAAATTTGTGGAATAGCCAGTGACAGTGAGGTTACATATCATTTTGAGGTTTTTTTTTTTAATGTAGACTTGGAATTTAGGTAAATCTGAAATAAGTTATGAATAAGAGTTACGGAGGCATTGAGAAGTTTATTACTTTGAAAAACTATGATCTGTATCATTGAATAACAGTCATTTAAAAGTATGTCAAAACTGCTTTTCACTTATATCTGAAGGGGTTTTTTTTAAAAGCACAGCATGAATTTGGTTATGATATTTCAACTTCTAAACATGAAGCATTAAATGATAATTTCCAGAAGTACACACATCTGTGCTATTTATACTAGATGGCATCTCAATGCTCAGTCAGCTGCACAGAGCGTATCACTCAATCTGTAAATGTTTATTGTACACCTGCTATATGTTTTTCCTTGTTGCAGGTGCTGGAATTTCAGTACTGAACAATACTTGAACTCAGCCCTCAAGAAGCTTAGAGTCTAGTGAGAATTGAATTAGCTATACTTAGTAATTTTTTTGTGTTTTTTGTTTATTTGTTGAGACAGGATTTTGTTCTGTTGCCCAGAGCTGGAGTACAGTGGCAGGATCGCGGTTCACAGCAGCTTCGACCTCCTGAGCTCAAGCAATCCTCCCATCTCAACCTTCCAAGTAGTTGGGACCACAGGTGTGCATCACCACGCCTGGCTAATTTAAAAAAATTTTTTTTTGTAGAGATGGATCTTGCTTTGTTGCCCAGGCTAGTCTGGAACTCCTGGGTTCATTTAACTGATCCTCCCACCTCAGCCTCCCAAAGTGCTAGGATTATAGGTGTGAGCCACCTTGCCCAGCTCTTTGTAAGATTTAAACTAGGGTGGGATTGATGGGGTTGAAGTAACTAGGAAGCTGGTTTTAGCTTAGCAGAAGAAAATAACAAGTATGACGATGATAAGGGCTGCCTCAGCAAGTGTTGACTTCTTGTCTGTGTAGCTGTTCGGTCCAGTGTTTTAAACTGGTGATGGGCCAGGTGCAGTGGCTCACACCTGTAATCCCAGCACTTTGCGAGGCTGAGACAGGCAGATAACTTGAGGTCAAGAGTGTGAGACCAGCCTAGCCAACATGGTGAAATCCCGTCTCTAGTAAAAATACAAAAGTTAGCTGGGCATGGTGGTGGGCGCCTGTAATCCCAGCTACTCTGGAGTCTGAGGCAGGAGAATGGCTTGAACCTGGGAGCAGAGGTTGCAGTGAGCCGAGTTGGCACCACTGCACTCCAGTCTGGGCAACAGAGTGAGACACCATCTCCAAAACAAATAAGTAAATAAATAAATAAACAAACAGGTGATGGTGTGGGACTGATTCAAGTTTCAGATAAGAGAATGAATTACAATACATCTAAGATACAGCATACTTCTCATAGGGAAAATTAAACTAGCTAGTGTTCATCTTTTTTTGCAGATGAGGAAATGGAGCTCAGAGTAGTTAAATAACTTGCTTAAAGTCACACAGCTTTCAAGTGGCGAAACCCAGCTCTGATAAGGCCAGGCCACCTTTAAAAACACACACACACACACACACAAACACACAAACTGTATTGTTTTTAAGTGATTCTTTTTTAAAGCGTGCCATCGATATAATAAATATGTGGGATATCTTTCCAAACTAACCTAGAACTCTTGAGAAGAGTATGACTATAAAGCTGATTTTTTTCTTAAATTGGTCATTTTAGAGGATCCTTTTAAAAGTAAATCATGAGGCTCTTTGGGTACTGTCCCACATAGCATTTCTTTTTTAATTGAGCAGATCGTGTTTCCAAATAGAAGGTCTTGCTATTTTATCCTTCTTAGTGTTTTTTTGTTTGTTTGTTTTTGTTTTTTTATTTGAGATGGAGTCTCGTTGTGTCACCCAGGCTGGAGTGCAGTGGCACAATCTTGGCTCACTGCAACCTCCACCTCCTAGGTTCAAGCAATTCTCCTGCCTCAGCCTCCTGAGTAGCTGGGATTACAGGCGTGTGCTACCACACCCGGCTAATTTTTGTATCTTTAGTAGAGACGGGTTTCACCATGTTGTTCAGGCTGGTTTCAAACTCCTGACTTCAGGCAGTCTGCCCACCTTGGCCTCCCAAAGTGCTGGAATTACATGTGTGAGCCACTGTGACCGGCCTAGTTTATTCTTTTTTAGCTGTCTAATCTTCTTAGTAGAGCTAAAGCAGTAAAGAGAATTGTATGGAGTCTTAGGATCCTTTGGCATTTGTAATCATTATGTAACAGAAATATCTTGCCAGTTAACATTGTTGTTACTTCTTTGCCCCTTTATTTATTTTGCCTTTTTCGTGTTGCTAAAGTGAAGCAGCCTGTCTGGACTGCCAGTTCCTGATGTTTCACCTAGAGATGCTAAGTTGCTCAAGTAGTTGCTTTCTGAGGACCCAGCTGATTGACACTTCATTTTACCCAAATTAACAAACTTATAATGTTTGTAAAACATTTTATTTTACAAAATGAATTATAATATGTAGACAATATGTTTACAGATTTATTCAAGTTTGGAATTTCATTCATCCACCTCAGTGTTAATTGTTTTGATTTTTTTATTAAAATACTTTAGTATATTATAATAGTAATATTTTTTAAAATATGAACCTCAGAATCCATCCTCAAGGGAGAAAGATTACCACTAATGTTCTTTTACTACATGGATAATTCATCTTCAACATGAAGTCTGAGTAATAGTCTCTGGGTGGGGAGCTGTGTTTAGGGTTTAGGAGTCAAATATTTGAGATTCTTACTGATGCTTCTGTTCCCGGAGTATTACTGTATGCAGATGAGCAGATTCAGTTTGCAGGTACTTTTTATTTGGCCTGCGCTGTTTAAAAAATGGAAGATTCTGTGTGATTTGGATTTGTGGCTTCTGTTAGGAAAAGTTGGAATATCTTGTAGCGCCAGTTCTGCATTTCTCAGAGCAATAACAGGATGGAGAGATGGACTGTAGTAGCAGCTTTGGGGTTGAAACTCAGTGTGTAAGCTCCTAGGTGGTGTTTATAGTCCCCCCTTATTTGCTGTGCTTAACTGATGGTACTTGCCCGGCCTAGAATAATATGAATTTGAGACTCTTAGTGGAGGAGTAAATAGGGAGCATTACTGTTGCTAATTAGTGAAAATGAGAAGACTTAATAGCTGGAGTGGAGAG